ATATATATATATATATATATATATATATTTAAAAGGTTTATTAAACTATTAAAATTAAAATGAACCTATACGTGTATCATATTTTCCACACCTTTTAGATCTTGCTAATTATTATTATTTTTCAGGAGTTTAACTCATTGCATTACTGTTAAAAATGTAAAATAAAATATGGTATATAATAAAATATGGTAGGCCTAGTATTACAAGTAGCTACTCTTGCAAGAGAATGACAGCTACATTACCTTCTCTCCTAACAAACTCAACTAGAAGTTTACTAATTATTGTTCTTCATTTTCTTCACCACCCATATATACAAATTCATCTTCTCCTTTTTTTTTGGGTGCAATATCTGTAGACAGACACTTATAAGTGGTGGAAAGCTCCAGGGAAATTAATTCAAAATCTTGCGAGGATTTTGAAGATCACGCCATTATTTTTTTGGGGAATTTATGGGTTCGTGTCTATCTCTTTTTCATGTCAACTGGCTTTTATCCCTACTCTCTCTAGAATCCACTAGCAATAAATTTTTGTCGAGGAATGAATAAATCAACTACTTTTCTTTCATATAGAAGATATTCATTTACTCATTTAATACACATTGATTTTATAATATAATATTTAATTACTAATGTGGTGTATAAAACTTAAACCAGTTAGTACTAGTTATTTTATTTTATTTTTTGTCAATAATACTTGTTAATAACATAGGTTGATCAACTATTGTCTTCAGATCTCCGATACCATTCAAAATTCCTCTGTATGTTGTTGTGGGTAGACCAATAAAGGTAGAGAAAAATCCACAACCAACAATGGACCAGGTAAGTATAAGTATATCTTCTCATATTTTTACTTAAATAACATTCAAACTGAGCAACATGTCATAGGATCTAGGGTAATTGTTATTTTAAACACCCCTTCTCCAAAAATAACTTATTAGTAACATTATTTATGCGGATCTCATTAATTAAATATATAGATTACACTATCTATTTGTGTTAGGATAAAATAATTAGAATGTGTTGTTAGCACTCTTAAAAAAATTACAATATAATAACCTTTATAGTTTCCAATTCCTAAGTTAACATTACCAATTCACTTTTGGATTTCAACTAATGTGAGTTGTGGTTGATTAAAGGTTTTATCTTCAATTTTGTTTACTTGGTTTGAGGTTTGTCAAAATATTGTCACTATTTAGAATATCAGACAAAGAATATTATATAGAAAGTATGCTTTTAAATTAGGTATAGCCTTCCTTCCTAGTTTCTAAGCTAACCTTACTAATTAATTCAACATAGGATATCAACAAATGTGAGTTGTAATTGAACATTTTATCTTCAATTTTTTATACTTGATTTCAGGTTGCCAAAGTACACAACCAATTTGTTGATGAACTTCAAGATCTTTTCAATCGACACAAAGCTCAAGCTGGATATACCAACCTTGAGTTGAAAATTATTTGACAAGACCAAAGCCTATTGGACCAAGGTGACAAAAGCCTAGATTCTTGAAGGTTTTGCATTGGAGTTTTGTAAATGAATAAGAAGGCAATGTAGGAGTTTTATCCCTTAAATATGGTTTACTGCCTTAACTTGAATTATATCAAGGATAATCTAAACTTAAATATTGTCCGACAAGATTACGATTTAACCTTATATTTACATTTTTTTTTTTCATTTTGCTACTTTCAATGTGGTTCCAAATAAAAGATTTGTATTTTTCTTCTATTTTCTTTCTGTATCCAAGTTATTGCGTAATTGGTAACTTATCTTCCTACCTTTCATGTAATACATCAAGAAAAATATTATATCTATTTGGTATGGTAGATTACTATCGAAAACTTCCATTGCGATCACGAAGTAAATTCTTATTTTATAATCACTTATATATAACTTTTTTTGATAATCAAAGAGGAAACAAAGATAAATTATTTTTATAAAAGTTTTTTTAAAAACTTATATTGGAGAGCTTATGCACATATTTCATATTATTTTCATATATGCTCTCTCAAAATGTTGTAAAAAAACAGAAAATATATTTTGGGATCATCATAAAAAACATGGTTAGTAACACTAAGGGATTATTGTAAAGAAAAAAGATGTGATAGTGAAGGATACATTGCCTAAAAAGGTAATGAATAATTAAGGTGGCCTATCTCCCGATTATGGGTAGAAATGAATTCACTCATTGTGGCAACATATGGTGTTAAATTTGAGTTTACTTTCATATTTATTATGCAAATAAAAGAAAAATAAAATAAAACACAGGGAATAAGTATATATTTTTTAGAGAAGAAAATATAGAAAAGAAAGAAATGCAATCATGACAATTATTTTATTAAATTAATTCAATGTTAATACAATATGAAATACATGGGGTTCCCAAAATCACATTATTCCATAAAAAGTATAATTATTTTGTATCTAGATTATCACGATTATTAATTATAAAAATCAACATATTATTATTCACTAGCATCGAATGACTGTATCATGGTAGAATTAGAAGTGTCAAATGGGATAGACTGATTTAACAAAATCTAACCTATAAGAGCTAAATATTATTTTAGGTTAGATTGACCTAACTTATATTTTTTTTAGTCTGCCATTTATTTCTCCAACCTGACTAATGTTGGGCTATAGGGCCAAATTGGCCTAATTAAAAAAATACATTAAAAAATAAATATATTATTTACAAAGAAATTTTTTTAAAGAAAAAAGATAATATTATTAATTGATATTATATACTAGTTACATATGAGATCTCGGTCAGTCACAATCATATAGTCTTGGATAGTTACAAATGACCATACATCAAAAGTCACACATGTTATACCTGGAATAGTAGATAACATATTCTTTAGCTTTTTCCTATTTAGTTAAAAACACTTTATTGTGATCAACTATTAAAATGTTTCTACAATTGTTTAAAATAAGGATTATAACATTTTATTCACCACCTATATCTTTTCAAATTCATCATAATTATATGAAAGAATATGCTTGATAATACACATAGCAAGTTCATCTCTATAAGTCTTACGATCAATTTTTTTACTGCTTTAATAAACTAGCTGATGGAGGACCATCCATGAAGACTATAGGACCTTTGACAAGGTCTATGGTAAGGAGGCTAGAGGAAGCTACCAGAGAAGATAATGTAATTCATGAGTATAGAGTATGTGTTCTCCTAGTTACTTAGTCTCCCATTGTATAGGATATTTTCGACCATGTATTTTGGGTCAAGCAATATAGGAATTTTTGTCCTTGTATAATTTTTCAAGGGTGTAATTAGTAGTTTAGGAGAGGTGTAACTAGTTTAAGCCCTAGACTTATTTGGGCTTAGATGGCCCAAACTTTTTCCTAGACCATAGGGTTAGACGTCCACTTGCTTAGGCAAGTGGTTTGGACGTCCAAACATAGTCAAAGTGACCATCCAAATTGTTAAATAAGTCACATGACTTTGATATAGTGACATCTCAACAAACTTGTAAAAATAATCATTAGTAAGCTAGTTGTCATGATTAGGCTAGGTACTTGGAGTTAACTTAAACTAACCTAGGTTACTTCTAAACTAGGATTTGCTTAGCTTGCTCCATAAGTTTCTAGAAAGTTAACTAGGGTTGGTTAGCTTAAGTACAAGATAGCTAACCATGGTTACACTTGACCATGGTTAGTCTAGCTTGCACTATAAGCCAACCAAACTATTATATATAGGTGTCCTTGTAATGGCCAAAAATCACTTTGAGTATACTCATGAATTAATTGGATGAATTTTCTCTAATTCCCTCTCTCAAAGCTTATTTCTCTCCTTGAAAATTGTTCCATTTCTCTTATCCTCTCTTAAGTGTGGTGAGATTTGGAGGGACTTATCACTCTATGAGTGTGGCATCACCAAGGGGGCTCTTAACCTTTCATATGTGTTTGAAGATGGCTTCTAACACCTTTGGAAGCCATTGAAGAAGCTAAGAGGAAACTAAGAAGAAAAATATCTATTCAAGGAACTTGGAGGAGGAACTACACTAATCTAGTCTCTCCTTGTTGTTTTCCATCATTTGGTATCAAGAGCAAGGTCTTCTTGGTAATCTTTTTTCATAGCTTTTTGTGTCTTTTAATTCAGTCAATGTGTGTTGTTCTTGATTGTCTTGTGTTTGTGTCATTAGAATTTTTCTTGTGTCACATATATAAATCTATAGAACAATTCACCTTGTCTTGTAGTTTTTGATTCATGCATCAATCTTGTTGTGTGCCTTTAGGTTAATCTTGTTCTTGCATTCTAACATTTTAGGCTTGCTTATATCTTGTTTAAAACTCTTAAAAAATATTTGGTTGAAGAATTCTAAAAGAAAAATGTATGACTATGTGGTTTTTTCAATTGTGTAATCCATGTAGTTTTGTCTAGTTGTCTTGTTTAGTCCTTGTATTTTATTACTCCCATCGTGTGCCTTTTTTCTTTTGAATCTTTAAACAATATTCTCCATTTTTGTGTGTTAAGCATTGTTGGCTGCACATAATAGAAAACTTAGAAGTGTTCATCATATGAATTCTATGCATGTTATTAGATCTAACATGTTCTAGTGTCATATTTTTGTGAACTTCATATGCTAATTCTTGCTTACCAAGCATACATGTTCATTTCACACTCATCAACATTCAAATTACTCCTCACATCTCTTAGTTCTCATAAGGAAGCAACTTTTATATACAATCAACACCCGACGGAAATCCATCTATGCCGGATGCAACTCGTCTAGAGAGCACTCATAGCTCTTAGGATGACTTATTCCAGACGTGACCCATATTACACCCAATGAGATAGCAATAGGGACTCTCCTAGAGTCCCCACACCCAACGAGCCATACCCTATGCCTAGCATGAGTATCACAAAGTCTCACAATCTTGATAATGCCCAATAGGGCATGCCTCACACCCGGCTCAAACAAAATAGGGGTGAACCCTACTTTCGGGCACTACAACGCCCGACGAGACATAAATGGTGCCCGATGCCATATCAGAAACACAAACCTGCAGAATTATGGTTTGTGAATAGCGAACCAAAACCATAAGACACAAATTTCATATAATTATACAATTTTATTAACCACTCATAGCATAACCCTTCAATGCATACTCTTAGAATTTACACAAGAACCCATAGGCAACTCAATTCATACAAAAAAAAAGCACAATGCATGAAATTAACTATATATCACAAATCATAGCAATTCAGGAGCAATAGAATCACATGGAAGGACAACAAACAAGAAGAGAAAACAATTGGTATTTCCTCTTCATACAATGTATACAATATATAGTGGTTAGTGGCCAACCTTACTACCCATCAGTTATCCCATGCTCTAGAGCGATAATTCTCACTCCCCCTTTACCTTTATCAACAAACAACGAAGAACGTGAGTCTCTAAAATTATCTCCTCCTATCTCCTTTCCTCCAAGTTCTTTAGAGCGTAAAATAAAAAATAAGAGCATGAGTAGAGACTAACGCGTCTCTCTTTTTCATATTAAACCTAACTTAATATCCCTCTAACTCATCCACAGTTACTCAACCTTAACTTTGGTTACCTTTCTTCCCATCACTTTATAATAATAATAATAATAACAATAATAATAATAACAATACATTATATTGAAATATAATCTTTATCAAAACAAATATATAAAATATAATTTAAATCTTAAAATGCTCTAGAACCTCAACTCTTTAAATTTTATAACAAAAATATTATTAATATAATTGCAAAAACGTAGGGTGTTATACAATAGATATATGTATAAGGTGCATAAATCATAAAACAATTCCTACCAATTTAGACTTGCAAACATAAAGCCCTTATGGGGTTACAATAAAATATTGTACACACACACACACACACACACACACATATATATATATACACGATATACATCTAGTATAGAATACTAAAATATACGAAATCCTAGTGCCAATCAAGCGTTTATATATACAACTACTTTATTCTAAGAACTCAACAAAGCAAGTTGATCTCCAACATGACCATTCACTAAGTGTGCCCTCCAACCTATTCATGCCCTACTCCCATACTAAGCATGATCATCATAATCCAACAACATAGAAAAATAAGGGTAAGATAATGAAAGAAAATAACATAATACCATATACACATGATGTATTCACTCATACTAGACTCTATACATCCTTTCATCTCATGGATTCAACTCATACTCGTATTATTTGCTTAACACATCATCTTCATATCAATCTCATGTGTACACATCATCATCTCGTCAATATCATGCATATATATCATTTTTGTGTCACTCTCATATCATATATTATCATCTCCTATCACATATAAATTTCCCATATTATACATAAACATTTCTTATCACAGACTACAAGAAAAATCAGCATTACCTACGGAAATTTTCGTAGATAATAATGAAAATCTGTAGGTAACTGTCAATTATCTACGGATTTTCTACAGAAAAAAATCCATAGGTAATAAGGTCATAGATAACGTTATCTACGGAACGTTATCTATGGAATTTTCCGTAGATAACCCACGAAAGTTGTTATTTACAGATTTTATCCATAGATAAATTTTGGAATTTTTTTTAATTTTAATAAATTTATTAATGTAACAATCCTCATCTTTGGTCTCTCAATGATGTTATTTCATGACACTTCACTTTTC